TTTCTTTTCGAAATGAGCTACTTTTGAAGATGGGCTTCTTTTCGAGGTTTGCAAACTAAAGTGGGAATAGTTTTCAAAATGAACGCATGTGGTCCTGTGAAAATATTTAAATGTTTGTTGTATCATTGTACTTTTACAGCTGGAAGGAATAAAATAAAAATATTATAAAATATAGGCATATATATATATATATATATATATATATATATATATATATAAATTATATAAATACAATCAAGTTTCTTATATCATTTATTACCATGAAATAGAAAATTAATTATACTAACAATTTTCAATCTTCTAATAAATTCATATTAGCCAGTGTTAGATTCAAGCTAGCCCTCCATTAAACCGTTTCTACAAATTGATGCATGCACGGAATCTTGTTGACTAAACCCCGTACGTTCGATTATAGTTGTGTAGCATTATTTTAACCATGCTACAATAAAATAAAAATAATATTTATGCTGACACATTGTCATAATCATCAAAGATAACGTAAGTCGGAATGTAAGTGTTATCTCGAATGAAACCGTACTATCCTGAAAGAGTGGTTTCTTTTCGAGCCGACAGACGAAAGTAAAAACAGGTTATCCTAAATTTACTTGACCTGCTATCTTAAAACACTAGTTTTGTCAGATAACCGGAATAATTCTTAACTGCTTCTTAAACTTAAAACTTAAGATGGGAGATTGTATTTTTTTTAGAACACCGGGTGCTGCAGTGTAGGCTCGAGTAATAAGCAATGTAAAGAGGAACCGCTATAGTGTGGTACAGCAAGGTTGCCGCACCCGAGAATCTTCGATTAATTGTCCTAAAATCTCGGACGGTGGTCTAAACCCACCTCAGCCCCATATTGGTTGGAAGTGAGGTGAGCAACTTTAAAATTGATAGGCAGCTTTGATGCTTTAGATGCTCGGAAGTGCTGTTTAAAAAAATGTTGCTTCATATCAGTGTTTTCCCGACAAGAATTGACTTCCCCGACGATGTCCTTATTCACCCAATATGTTGATGAGGGTCTATATTTTAACAATATAGATTTTGGTGATCGGTAAAAATAATTATAGATATCAGAAAGGTGACAAGCCTATAGGCCTATAATTGGCCATTGGACGGCACAATCATGTGTATGATATACCGAAACGTCGATGTAAGTATTTTAATGTTCACCAATGACGTGGTTACGCCTACACGTCCAGCGCATTGTGTTAAAAGTCCTACAAAATCAACGCTAAGCCACATTATTATACATTTAGTCACTCTAAATACACGTTAGGGTATCTATGTTGGGTAGATTACAGAATTAACCTTTGGGAGGTGTTCAGACGCATTAATCCAACGACACAATTTAACGGTAAACAAAATAGAGGTTACTTGCGAAAAGCAAAGATGTATGCCTGAAGTCTGAATTTGATGATATACCGTACTAGCAATGGACGATTTCATCAACACTCGTTTTCAACCGCTAATGGGGTTTTCTATCTACAGATCTTTAAAATATATTTCCCACACGTACGATAGGCCAACCGCCACAGATGATTAACCCGTATGTAACTAATATACGAATGCATCTAGCAGTAATATATGCATAATGTGACCGGTATTATCGCCCCAGCGTTTGATCGAACGCCACTGGAAACCACATAATGTCCCGGTGTTATTCAACAATAAAGAATGTAATAATCAAGTGTGGCAAACTGCTACTTTGCACAAAAAAAACACCTCCGAAGCCTCAGAAATTGTATGCATTGTTCGTCTCGTGCGCAGAACGAGGCTTGACCCGTGCCTTAATTATGCGGGCGATATCGATCCGACGTCGCCTCACTGCTTCGAGTCATAACTAATGGGCTAGCAATGGGTCGTTATATCCGACTACGATACAGTATTGCATTTGCTTTGTCTCTTATTTATTTTTTTTTGCGTCCGACGATGGTGTAAAGTTCAGTGATGGTTTTCACTTGAAAATATGAATGTTTCTAAATGAGTTCAATAATTTAATGAAACAATGAAGCTTATTGCTATTTTTGTGATCCATCTTCATCATCAATCATCATCATCATCCTCATCATCATCATCATCATCATCATCATCATCATCATCATCATCATCATCATCATTTGCCTATTGTCATCATGTTATATATATTGTAACCAGTAGCGTTTATTGACAGTTAAAATCATAGTAGTTTCTTCACTTCAATTCGAGCATCGAGTTCCTCACGTATGTCGCTCCTTCATTTGAATTCCAACTAACAAATTTCCATTTATTATATCGGTGGGCAAGACATTCAAGCTAACAACGTGCAAGGAGAATAGCCCCGTATTACTCTATTTAAGATTAAAACGATTTCATAAACACTGCACCGTTTTGCTTACCTAACTTAATCCCACGCGTGGCAAACCGTATTTGATAGTCCATCATCCCGAGGGGATGTTTCTCGGCACGCGACCACTTTTTGTTTGCGTGTACTGGCGCGTGATAAACAGACAAAGGGGATGAATTGAGGCGGCGAGATCGGAGGGAACGTGAATACCACGATGGATTTTATTCTTAATGGTGCCTTTCATCGTGCTTTTCATCGTGTTCGTTTTCTTCATAATCTGCGTTCATAATGCCCAGTTTGCATTACAAAAACAATCGTGTTAGGTGTTACATACTGAAGAAATATGCATGTTTTCTTTCTCCTGCTCGTTTGCTGTTAAATTATATTATCGTTATTCTCACTCCGTTTCAGCTTTGCGTTTCGTTAAGTTGATGACGGATTGAAAGATAGAAATGATTGTACAGTCTTGCCAAAATAACAATGGGCTCGATTTATTGTTATTGCAATTTGATAAAATATCGTGTTGATTGTTGAATACATTATACAACTATAATAGTCTACTCTATCCAGGCTAACGTGATAGTCTCGTTGTTGCCGTTGCTAATTCGTTGTGGACTCTCTCCCCGAAACGAATATTAGACCTACTTTAAATTCTAAAATTTCTGTTAATATCTTTTTCGAAGGTTTTTTTTCATCAGAGAGTTGTCAGTCGGTTGGTATTTGAGTTAATTATTATTGCATACATAGTTTTGTCGGCACACTTAAACTAGTCCAATTGCGTATAGACCTAGAATTAAAGTTACAATTAAAACGTAACCCTATACTTTAATCGCCCAGTTACGGTTTTATAATATTCCAAGATGTAAATACGCCTAATATGGTTAACAGTTTACCAACAAAATGTAGATCTATGGGGCGAGCTGACTGAAAAATTCCTGGTAGGCTTCAGTAAATAAATGTTCTTTGCTTGGATAAAACTTGTTTGCCCTATTTCCAATTCGAATTAATATATTCCAATTGTTGGAGGGGTAGAGAAGTTATCTGATTCAGAACTTTGTTCGCATATAATATTTTTTAAACGCTGATATTACCACCATACAAATGCGGTAATACCAGAAGATGATTTCATTCTGGTTAATTATTAACAACATTTTGATCTGGCAGTACAATGTGAATTGCATCAACATTTACATCGATAAAAGGTAAGACAATAAAAAAAAAACCGCACACACACACACATAATACAGATGATAAAAAGACTACGTGATGACTCCCATTTTATGATTTTAAATTGTTTCTCTCGTTGCCAATGCCAACCTTCTTGTAGATAGCCCACTAACTCGTTTTTTTTTTAAATTTGACAATCATTTCCTTTCATAACCCGATTTGTCCAAATATTACACAGCGCCATCTATGATCTACTGCACATGCGATGTAAATTATTATTCAAAGAAGCTTACACCCCTGTCTCATAGAAGTGTATCTATATTTGACCTTTTGAATGCTATCATCATAGCATCAAAATAAACAAAACGTCATCATAAGTAGAAAAATTAATGTACTCTATGTTTGCTCTCGGTGAGGGCGGTATTTTTCTATTGCAATAGATGTTCAATTTTGAAATGTAAGTTAGTCAAGATGACGACGAAACCATATTTTGTTCTGCTTTTTGTCAGTGAGAAAGTCATAATCGTAGGCGACGGTAATTGTTTTGTTTTCTCTCGGGCAACTCAAATTGGTTAAGATATCATTCAAATTGAATCAGTTTACTACTATTAAGATGGATTTGTAATTGAAATTGACTGGAACATTAGAATAGAATTTGTTTTATCATAATTAATGGCCATAAAATAGAATACTATTAACAATTATTTTTCAGATTGTCATTATTATAAATGTCACATTGCAATAATTAATCTCATCATATATATTGCTTTATGCTATCTTAGAACTTAAAATATGTTGCATAGGCCTGGCTATATCTTATTTTTCATAACGTATAGGCCTATCAATGTAGTTATTATTCAAAGAATAAAGTTGAGGTGGACAAACGATATTATACCAGCCACTAGCTTTCTTTCACGCAGTCAACATCTCTTCAAAACGGCCAGCGGATAGATTTAATTTTGGGGCTTATCACAACCTAGATCAATTTTGCAATTTATTTTCATCAATCATCGTGTAGTATTCATTAAAATAAATAAAGAATCGTCATTATTAAAAGCTTAACTTTTATAAGGCATTTATATGAGGGAAACTTTTAAAAAAATGATGCAAGCATTGTGATACGATATTCCAAACTTTAGTAGCTCATGTTCAGTAATAACGCGATATCATTAAGATTTGGTCTATTCTATAAGGACCAAAAAAATTCTTGTGTTGTCGTGCACGTTTTGAGAAAATCCAAAAAAAAAAAATTGGTAGGTCGGTAGGAAAAGCAAAACTATCGCATAACACTGTCGCATCACCTAATGTCCAACAAAATATTTTTCGTTGTAGTCAAAAAAAAAAAAAAAACTAAAACAAAAACAAAAAATAATAAAATGCCGAACATCAATTTCGTACATTTTGGGTTGGTCGGGAGTGGCCCGCACAATATTTTTTTCTTTTATTTGTGACCTAGTCTTTTCGCTTCTGGTTTTCATAATTAATTGTTTTATTTTTTTTTCTACTTCAGGAATCAAGTGGAATGATAGTCGACCGTGGATATAAGCGAGTGGCCGTAGTTGAGGACTTTTTCGACATCATTTATGCAGTTCATGTAGAATCCGATTGCAAAGGGGGCAAACACGCTGGCCAAAAGCGCACTTACAAAGCTGTAAGTTCCATCAATTAAATAGGTACCAAGAGGTACCTACTTTGTTTGACAAAAGGCGAGTTAACGCTCACTGAAATTTGGATTGCAAATGAATGCTTGATTTGGCATCATGGATCTCTTGTAATGTATACATATAATATTAATAATTATCATAATTGTTATTGTTGTAGGTATAGTCATTGTTAATGTTGTTATTTTTAGTGTTATCGTTGTCGTCGCCGTCAGCGACGACATCGTCAACATCGTCAACGTCATTGTTATTGTTATAGGCCTAATTGTTATTATTGTTATCGATATTGTTATTGTTATTATAATTAATTATTATTATTATTATTATTATTATTATTATCAGTAATATTAGTGTTACTATTATGAATATTGAAATTCTCTATCCTGAATAATTGTAGTTTTTATAGTTTATAGTGAATACGTTAACACAAAGGACACGCATCGCTTTAGGCCGACAACCGTATTGGACGGGGTAGTCCACGAACAAAGCTCATTTTGGAATCGACCTCATAATTATTTTGTTGTTACACGATATTATGCCGTCTTGCCTTACATAAGGCTAAAACCCTCTCCAGAAAATAGGAATGAAAACATAATGAAGCATATTATTGTTCTTGGACTTCTACGGTCTGTTGGGGATGCAGACATAACCGATGGTTTCATGCCTTTGCCCCTCTTTGTCTTTTTAATAGATTATATATTTTCCTTCATTTATGTTTTGTAAATATTTATGCTGAGATCATAAAAATGCTAAAATAAAATGTACTTTGCAGCTTTATGAGAGTGTTGAAGGCGCAGTGGCGAAAAACAAAACAAATTACATTTTCATTGTTGTTTACTATACAAAAATATGGCCTAGTATGAAAGTGATATAGAAATGACGTCATTACAGTCCCTTAAAGTCAGGTTCTGGAGAAAATTATGGACCATGCCGCCCGTATATAAATATGTTGTAGAACTTATTTTTTAAGATAAAGCCATATTGACGAAAAACTCGGAAGCGGTTTAATGAAAATAAATACAGAGTTTTGGATATTTAGAACTGGGAAAAGGCTGAAAAAAGGGTTGTTATGCCCCTCCCCACCCCGCTTTTTAAAATATTCAAAAATTTGTATCTCATTAACCGCTTCCGAGTCTTTCGTCAAATATGCTTTTGTGTCTTTAGAGAAATCAGTTCTACAATTTATATTAAAAAAAATTCCTACGGAGCCTGGTTTTAACGTTAGAACCACCAGGCGATTGATGCATTTCGCTGGATGGGAATTTGAAAATTTGTTTAAAATGAACGCTTTGTAAACAATACCATAATGCCGAGCCAACTACGTGTTTTAATTTATGTGGACGTGTAAGAGACGTCAATAGCATTGAATGGGTACATAACTTTAAACAGGCTTGAGTAAGGTGATATATCATTTGCAACATTGTCAGTCTCACAATGAAAATCTTGGGACAAAGGACATCATTGTTAACTTTAAGCACGGTTTAGTTACCTTAGGCCAGGTTTCCATAAAATCGCTACAATATTTCCACAGCGTTTTCACTGCAATCATTGCACTGCGTAGCTGTCCCCGACGCAATTGGAAATGCTTTCTGATTTGGCCAGCCAATCAGCGTCTTCGAAATGAGTCGTCGCAAGTATGGAGCGATTTTATGGAAACTAGACTTTACTAAAAATTGTTATAGTAACAACATAAATTGATGTTAAATAAAGAGAAATAACTGTTAAATATATGAAATAAAGGAATAATTAATATTAAATATCATGTTCGTTATAAGCATGTAATACCAGTAGTAGGTCTTATAATTATAAAATAGAATAGAACATTTACATAGCGCCAGTATATAGTTAAAAAAATAAGTAAAAGATTCATAGTGTTTTAATAGAGCATGAATACAAATGAAACACATTTTACGGATTTGCATATAGTGCAATGGTCAACCTATTATGAGAATACTCTTAACCTTTTCATTTTAATGAGTTTTATAAATGTAAATATTAATTATTTCAAAAGGTCATAGATAGTAATTTCAATATGATGGTGGTAGTTTATTTTATTGAAGAGATATATTTTGGCATATCTGAGCCTCTCTTTAGAGCTGATGTTCACAAGCATAAGTCTGCATCATTTGTGGTTCTAAAAAATCTAAAACACAAAAGGCTAAAGGTGTTGCATACATGGCAAAAAAATTACTATAATGAAAAAGAAGAGTCAAAATAAGAACATTGAGATAAATACCATTTCCACTTCGGACCATCCCGGTATTTCTGAGGCTGTGTGTTGGGTATAGTCTCGCCTGGAAATTCAAATGTAACATTTTAATCAGAGCAGAGAAATCCTCTGCAAAAGAAAAATTAAGCTTACAGATGCCTGTTGATATTAATAGACCTATTATTTATATTAGTAGGCCTACTCTATTCACATTGCTCTCATCTGTCCTGCTTTCAGATTGCCGAAACGTACGCGTTTCTGCCGCGTGAAGCCGTATCGCGTTTCCTAATGAACTGCAGTGATTGTCTGAAACGTATGCACTTGTCGCCGAACAATACCAACGAACCCAGCTTGACCAACAGTGGACCCGTTGCAAGTGAAGACACAGCCATCGACTACAACATGCCAATAACCACCACATACCTCACTAAGATAAATAGGCTGCGATACGACATTGTCGGTGAGGTAGGTATTGTTCGAACTGGTTGTTGGTAAAACCGGATCTCCAAAAAATATGCTATTGTTATTATTATTATTATTATTATACCAATCACAGTCATCGTTACAATGAAAACTAATATCAGATCACAAATTAAAAAAAAATGTAATGTTTTCTTGCTACGGATTGATGACACTGATTGTCATTCAATCCTCTGTTGAAGATGATGACGTAATAGGCCGATAATAGATAATCTTTACAGAGGGCGCTTTTCAACTTTCAACTTTTTCTTTGAGTAGTTGAATCATCTTAGATCACCAACTTATGATTTGATTGTCCGAACTTGAACTTCAATTTCCGTATTCGAGTGTTAATTCTCGAAAGATGCTAAAATATCTACAAAATTTAATCTCCTTCTTGCTACGTGAAATGCAATTAGATGTCGCGTGATGAAATAAGGAGACAGCACCTGTTCGGAAACAAGCTCTTTAGCCCCTCCCTTGCGTACTCCTAGGCCACCATCCTTACGTTTAATTAGTCCGCCTATGAAGACGGTACGCGGCACAAATGAAGCCGATTCGCTTCGGGAAATCAGAAGTTTCTATAACCTAGCCAACAGGAAATTCAACCCTAGCTAGTGAGAGAGAACAGAGGGGTCATTAGAATGTTCGAACCGTTTAATCTCCGTAATTACTTTCCGAAGTAAGAGGAATCGCTAGATACCGTATTAGATAAAAATAATGTGAATCGACGCCGGATGTTGTGACTGTATCGAACAGGTTCAAACAAACTGGGATATTGAGATTTAATTAACAAAAATAGCACCAGAAAAGAAAAACAATAATCAAAGACATCCAGAGAGCTTGGTTCGCTTACGAATTCTGCAGATAAATGGTATAAAAAAATATATCGACTACAAAAAAATAATCAAAACGTTTATGTTTTCACCAATACACATGTGTGAATTCAGCATGACGTCACGTTATGAGAGCGCCACTTTAAGTTAATTTAATCACAGTACAGAACGCTACACTTAAAAAAAACAGCTTGAAGGATTTGTTCCGCTTTTGGTGACACGTTTAAAAGCAAAACGTGTTTAGGCATAGCTTCATGTGCTTAGGATCTTGACGTCTTTAGCATCAAATGTGCTTAGGTATTTGATACCATGATGTCAAATACATAAACACATTTATTGCTAAACACATCAGGAACCTAAACATAACAGCCAGGCCTAAACACGTTTAGCTTAATTTTAAACGTGTCACTAAAAGCGGTACAAGCTTTGTGAAATCCTCCATGCTATTTTTACAGTGTATAGTTTATATTTTATACATATATTTAAGGTGGTCTCTGAAACACTTAAGCATGAATCAGGCCACCTGAGATTATATAAAAATATCCATAGCGATATTAGTAAACATATTGATTATATGTATTACAGGCTGCCTTATCCTAAATTCACTAGGAAGCATTGTATATCTGTAAGAACTATGAGTAACCCCGGAGGTCTCACCGCCGTAGATTATGAATGAATCCCTTTTCTATGAATATAAGACTCAAAATATTTACTAATATTACAAAGTTATTTACTATAATTTATGTTCTGACGTCACTGATTTCGTAAATAATTCAGCCAGGAGTGAATCTATATACTCACTACGCCTTCTTATCATGTATCACATTAAAAAATAATTCATTCATTCGCTTTTTATTTATTTTGCTCATCCATTCATTTATTATTTAATCCTTTCATTTATTTATTAATCCATTTATAAATGCATGTATATATAATATAGCTAACAATTCATGCATTCATTCAATATTGTTTCCTTCAATTTTATTTATTTTTTTTTTGCTTTCCAATTAAAGTATTCATTTATCTATTTTATTTTACTCATTCAATCACTCATTCATTCGTTCATTCATTTGTTTGTTCGTTCGTTCGTTCATTCGTTCGTTCACTCGATTGTTCATTCGTTCGTTCATTCATTCATCCATCCATTCATTCGTGTGTTCGTTCGTTCGTTCATTCATTTATTCATTTTACTCATTCATTCATTTGTTTGTTCGTTCATTTATTTGTTCGTTCGTTCGTTCATTTGTTCGTTCATCCATTCTTTCATTTATTCATTTTTTCAATCATTTATTCATTCATTTATTCATCCTCCTATTCATTCATCCATCCATCCATTCGTCCACCCTTTCATTCATTTTTTCATCGTTCTGTATCATAACACACGATATTTAACGTAGTCATTTCTAAATAATTATGCTACTTTAGTGAATGAATCGAAGTTTAAATATAATATAATTACATAAAACTGCACACATATTTGACATTATTATAAACGTTTTAACACATAATTTCCTGGTTCTGAATTAAAGAATATTGTACATTATTATTAGTAAAATATTGGACTATCATTTTTATGTTGTTCTACAACTGTTTGAGTCTTTTCCCCACCCCCAATTCCTATTGCAGTACATCTATACAATTTTAGTCGTTCCCTTTCATCCCCCCCCCCATTCACTTCGTTTATCCAATCCCTCCCCTTCTCTATTCTCGTCGATGCCTCACAGGCTCCTAGTGGAAGATGACAGTTTCGTACTCAATGAATAACTGTCAACGTTTCCCTCATAAACCTTTTGGGCGGGTTCAAACTTTCCATCAGATATTGCATGTGCAATACCAACAGCGGATACGACTTGGGGTCCCGGGAGACACGCATCAGCACGTAGGGGTTAAGAACGAATATCACGCAAGAGGCCGGGACGAGCACCAGGAGTGCGGATGTTACGCACTAACCCTAAACAATACCATACGTTAAACAACGGAGTCAGCATAAATCATAATTCATAATTTTGTTGCAATAGGAGAATAACTCTTGGTGTTTTTATGTAGATTCCATATAAACTAACGAGGTTGTTCTAAATTTTTAAAAAAAATATATAATTATCTGAAATTCATATGTTATTCATTTGGCCTATTCTTTCTATTCCAGTTATTATAGATTTTATCAATGCGACCAATAAATTGTACATTTTAGCATTGTTTATATTTTAGACTTATACACAGACGTACCGGTATATATTATGAACTGTAGGAAAACAATGGATATTAAACTACCAGTTGCGTATTTAGTACGGTAACTGTTTGTTTTTGTTTAGTACAATTGTTCGGTTTTCTTGGAAGTTTTTAATAACATTCCGAATCATAACAACTCACTGAGTAGATCGATGCTACACCGTTATTGTTATTATCATTATTAGTTAATTCTTAAAATGTATATATATATATATATATATATATATATGTATGTATGTATATATATATGTAATTATATGTATATACATAATGTAAATGTTTGTACGTATATATAATGTGTATGTAATTCTTATTTTTATTATATAATTTCAGTATTACTGAAATATGATTTGAGTTTGTCTTCCTGGTCAGATGTTATATACAATGTAAATAATATAATTAATAAGAGTACCGTATGTGTTTGTTGGTATAATCTTGATAGAAATATACGATCTCTATTCAGACGGAAATGACAAAAGACAACTCGTTCATAAAAGTTTTCCAGCCCAAATCTGTCATGCCTTGGCGTATCGCAGTTGCTGAATCATCGTAATATCATATATGCTTATTAAGGGTCCTAGGTGTGTATAGTACTCGGTCTATAGATCGTTAGCGCTGCCTTAATTACTGTTGACAACAGCAAACAGCTGACGAGAAACTTGTTGTAAAGAGGAGAGGTTTCGTCGAGCCCTTTCCCCTAAGATGAACTTAGTTTGGACGCAGTATCTTTAGAGGATCGCTGCCTGCTCTGACGTTGTTGCAGCTTATCAGGTGTTGTGTCGTTGGTGTGGCATCATTTTGTTAAATTTCTAGGCCGGAGATCATCATGATTTTGCAGCATAAGCGAAGGCGATTATCCCGGGGGTTCGGTTATGGTCGTAAGGTAGGATACAGAACCCGCTGGCCTTTTTAGATTAAGTATGTAGAATCATTATTATATATGTTGTTGTTGTATTGATTATTATTATCACTATTGTTTTTGTTATTGTTATTATCATTATTGTTTTTGTTATTGTTGAGTACAGTATTATACGGTAATTGTTAGTATTATTGCTAAGTTTACTGTTATACTATTATTAAAATTTAGCATTAATATTACCATTAAATATTATTATTTATTTATTAATTATTTATTATTATCATTGGATTTATCTCGTTCCAGTTGTTTACAACATGAGTCTAAATATAGGTTAAGGTTGACTTAGTACATAAGTGCAATCAGTGAGTCTCGGGTTGTAGACAATATCAGCAGTAATAGACATATAATAACAGTAATAGACATATAATAATTAAAGCAATAACTAAAAGCGGTAATAATCCCCGGTCGTCAGGTACATACAAACCCATGTACCATGCACCCGTCCAGTCTCTTGGGAGGATTCCTAGTTTTCATACCAAATCTTTCACAACCAGCAGAGTATACTTGCGAACGCTGTAGATTTTGAACTCCGGCCTCAATCTGATCATCAACGGGTTGCCTCCTACACACCCTGCTTACTCATCCACCGCATCTTCTCTTCCTCATCCTCCTCATCTTCGTCCAGCTCATTCTCCAGATTATCATCCTTATCATCATCTTCATAGTAATCAATAGCGCGGCTAAAGATAGGCCTCCTACACGTGTAGAGTATAATGTATGGGCTATCATTTCAAACTTCTGGCCAGATAACAGTAAACACAGTGCTGCTATGTTCATCATGAATGATTATCTGTTGCTAGTAATGGAGTACAGTATCTGTTGCTCGACTTGTAATTTAATAATCACAGGTCCAATCCCAGTTCATTGCGAAACCCTCCTCCACAGCTCACATCTCTCCAAAAAATATGTAAAAACAAAGCTCTTTTCTAACTAGATTGAAATCTTTCTTCTCCATTTTTTTCATAAACGTTCAAAACACAACGTCGAGATATTATCAACAGTTCTTTTCAGAACTATAGTTATCTACGTGGTGTACCGCAAGCATAAATATATATTATTACTTCGCCATGCAAAGCTTCAAACAATATTTCGTCCAAAATACGTTACTAAGATGAAGGAATACAATATTTCCTTATAAAACGGGAGCGAAGTTAATAGGCCTGGATACTTTTGAAAGTAAAACAAAACAGATTGGAAGGGACGCTCTTTTTTTTTTCAAGTTGGCATAACTTTAATGTGTGAATGTAAATATAATGCAGCTTGATATAAAGCAAACTAGCAGTGCGTTTATGCGTGCACTCCTTTCAATTTTTTTTTCTCCTCTCTCTTAAGCGGTTAATTTTGTCTGTGTTACCAGGTAAACCCGGACTTTTACAATATCTCGACTAATACCGTACCTTTCCAGAACCTTGTAAAAATCATTTAATGTATTGCTAGATTCATTTTTTTTAATTGATATTTTTTTCTGCTTTTATTTAATGTTTAAAAAAACACTTAAATATTGTAATGTACTTCTTTGCTTTGTTATCTTTGTCATGTCTTTTGATGATGAATAAAAAAAAAATAAAAAAGATTCAATTCTAAAACATGCGGAAAGAAGTGTTACATTCTATCTATTTGATTGAATGATTTTATTAAGTAAAAAATATATTCATTTACTTAACGATATAGTACCAAACTAAAAAAAAAAATAAAATTTTACATTCTATCTATTTGATTGAATGATTTTAATATGTAAAAAATGTATTCATTTACTTAACGATATAGGACCAAACTAAAAAAAAAATTACTGTATCAAGCAAAAAAGAAAAGCATGAAGTTATACCTGTCAAAAATGGGGTCCTCTAAATATGAATTATAGCCTATATGATAAAACTGATAAAATTATTAATGTAATATTATTATTATGTACATTCATTAGACTTATCAAGACAAATATAATTCACATAAAAAAAAATGCACTTACAGGTATTTCACTAATCCAGAGATGTATAGGCAAGAGTGAAACACTGTCCGAATGGGCGTACCTGTTCAACCTAGAAAAACGGAAACATTTAGCATAAGTCGAACAATGAATACTAAGAACGCCTGAAGTCTAAACAGACAGAGGATATAATTATTTTCCAACATTATCATATTAATATATATTTTATAAACAAAATTATGACATTGTACTAGGAAATATATTTCAAATTTTAAATGAATCTCGAAATAATGAAATAAGCGTCTAGTTTCTGACCGATTAATTGGCTACTTTAGTAAAACGGACTTTTTTTCCTTTCTTTCTTTCTTTCTTTCTTTCTTTCTTTCTTTCTTTCTTTCTTAAAGGCTAATTTAAATTTGCAATTGTTTGGTTGAGAATGTCACGCATTTTTATGTGCATATTCCGACTATCTATGCCTGTAAAATTGAACCACGATCTGAACCATTTATTCTAGTCACACGTGATAATTCAATTCATTTAATATCAAGCACGATGATTATAATACAGTCGCGGAAAACTGATGAAATTTATGACAGTCGTTTTAAGACGGCACTAACATGAGCTAACCTCGTAAGCAATTTAAGTCCATATTCATCCGGTCCAAGATTGTTGAAAAACAAACACCCTGATCGCGCCAATTATGTGATTGACTGTGATGTAGCGCGTAACAACATTTGCATCACGTGACATGTCAATGAGAGATCAAATTAAATTCATGATCGTCAGATGTGTATAATCATTGGTAATGATTTGTTTAAGTATTTACGTATAATAATCATAATGATGATGATGAC